TAAGCGAAGCGGTCGACCCTGCTTTAATCAGGTGAAAGGGGATGTATAGGTCCGATGCCGACATCCAGTACTTACACATGGCTCCAAGAAGTCGCAGCGGCAAGACGACGGCCATATTCCCCTCAACTGCATCAACTTGGGGAGTAAATGTCTTCTGCATTTACAACCTATTTTGTAATACGGTTTGATCTATACAATTGTATGCTTTTAAATACAGAGAAAATGTACTTGAAATTAGTTATTCTTTAAAAGTGTATTTTCATGCTTTTATAGCGTTTTGTTCTTGTTTTTAATAATTTCCTCTAGCTAGGTCCCTAACACGTACTATAACACGTCCGGCCCGGATCGTTCCGGAGTCCCTCCCACATTGGTCAGTATAGGTGCCGGTCAATTGATAGCCATCTGTTGACTGCTTCGTTCTTCCCTCTGCTCTGACCACGTTGTGTTCTTTAATCACAGTGCAATGAAGATCGAGTTTCCGTCCACACTTAAGCGTCGAATCGAGTTGGCGGAACCGTTCTATGGAAAAGAATAAGAAGCCTTTTGTCGGTAAAGGTTCAAATATCAAAACAAATAATGAAGAAAGCCGCTGGTTTCATTTCCAATTGGTTTATTACAATCGTTGATAAAACAAAATGAACCCATCCCATTTGACTCTATAACCTGACAATGTATTTCTTGCTGGTAAAAATTGGAACGGGTTTAACAGTCACACGAGATGTTAGGTCGGCGGGACTTCTCGGCAGATCGCATGGGTTCAACAGCCTCTTCGCTGCTGCTGATTTGTCTGAGCCTTCTCCAGCAGCTGCTCCTAGTGCAGGCTTCAGGCGGTCGTTCGGTTTATATACATCAGAGGCGTTGCTGCCGGATGTAATTTCTCGTCATACACAGTACTGACCAGTAAATCAATAATAAAGAAATAATTGGTAGGTCAATATAAAAATCAAATTAATGCCAAAAATGAGGTGAAAACTGAATTTAATAGTTTTTGGATATAGATAATACAAAAAATAAAATTGGGTGAGGAAAATAAATTGTTCAACAAACATTTTCGCTTCAGGGAACAAATAATAAAATTATAGTAATTACCGAAGAATAAAACCTACTACATTAGTAAGACCTCCCTCAATCTAGGACCACTCGCAATATCTCTTTTTTTTTTTAGCGGATTTTAAATAATTTCCCTATCGTTAAAAAAGTTAACATTGCATTGCAATTGATTTATACTGGAGGTAAATTTGAATTTACAAAAAATAGTAAGAGAAAAAGAACGAAAAAAAAAAATAGAATGTGGCGCGCGAACTGGATATAGTTGCAAATTGTGCCATCGATTTTCAGGAATAAATACCTTTTTTTCAGTAGTGTAGATCTCTATGGATTGATTTCCTTCCCATAGCCTTTCTTTTCTAGTGTCAGCAATGATGTTTTCCCGATGCATGATAAAAAACGGATTGGGGGTGACGTTTTGTTTGCTTTTGCCGACAACGCATCTAAAATATTTTAAAGAAAGAAGAGGCGTCACGTGATACCTGTGGTGTTCGTTTTTCAAATAAGATAATCGCTCGATGTTGAGGGACAAATCCGAGTTGACTAATTTATCTTCGAGTTCCTGACAGCGAATATAAAAACAGAATGAAACGCGTTTCCATAAAATCCATATTCACTCACAATAGGTTTATGGTAAGTGTATCTCGGCTCCGGTCAGATGTAAGCCAAAATAAGGAAGTCGCTTTTGATTGGCTGAGATAGAGTGGGAAAAATTAATAGAAGAAAGGTTTGGAGAGTTGCTGTTTATCCGTCAAGCGATGTAGACATGTTCTCTTTCATGCCCTAAATTAACATTAACACTATTTGCTTCGGTCATACTCTTTCTTTTTCTATTTGACGTTTCCCTTCAGGGCGTGGGTGATCATGACACTCCACATCTTCCTTTCATCCATCCAGGGAAGTCTTTTTTAATACCAAGCATAGGAAGTCGTTAGGTTTTAATATGGCTCTTCCCAACCATTTACAATGACTTTTTAATGTCCCTCCCACTCCCAGTTCTGACATTCGTTTATATAAGCTCGTTAGGTTGGTGATCATGGCTCTCCACAACTTCCTATTCTTTGAAGCTTTTAGCAATGTTTGTCTTTTTAATGTCCCTCCCACTCCCAGTTCTGACATTCGTTTATATAAGCTCGTTAGGTTGGTGATCATGGCTCTCCACAACTTCCTTGCATGTGTAGCACTGAACAATATTTGTCTTTTTAATATCTCTTCCAACCATGTAGAGAAGCTTTATTAGGTAGGTGATCATAGCTCTACCGAATATCCTATAATTTGTAGCTCTTGGCAAAGTTTGTCTATCCCTCCTACTCCTTGTTCTTGCAGCCATTTGCACAATCTTGTTAGGTAGAGGTTTATGGTTCTCCACAACATCCTATCCTTTAAAAATTTTAGCAATATTTGTCTGAATCCCTTCCCATCTTCTGCCATTCATTTGAACAAGCTTCTTCGGAAAATGATCATGGCTCTCCACAACTTCTTATGCTTTGTATCTCTTAGCGATATTTGTCTTTTTATTATTTCTCCCACTCCTTGTTCTGGCAGCCATTTACACAATCTTGTTAGGTAGATATTCATGACTCTCCACATCTTCCTATCCTTTGTAGCTCTTTGTAATATTTGTCTTTTTATTATCCTTTTCACTCCCTGTTCTGCCAGACATTTGAACAAGCTCGTTCGGTAGATGATCATGGTTCTCCACAAGTTCCTATCATGTGTACCTCTTAGCAATGTATGTGTTTTTAATATCCCCCCCCAGTCTTTATTCTGGCAGTCATTTACATAATCTTGTTAGGGAGATGATCATGGCTCTCCACAACTTCTTATCCATTTTAGCCCTTTGCAATGTTTGTCTCTTTACTATCCCTACCACTCCCTGTTCTGACAGTCATTTGAACAAGCTCAGTAGGTAGATGACCATGGCTCTCCACAACTTCCTCTCTATTGTAGCTCTTAGCAATGTTTGTCTTTTCACTATCTCTCCTACTCTCAATTCTGTTAGCTATTTGCACAATCTTTCCAGTTAGGTTACTGGCAATTTCTCCCTGTCTCTTGTGTTTCAATCTGTCATGCGCGTGTTATATTTTCCAAGCTTTCTTATGCCTCAGAAATTTCAACTGTAATTCATATAATTAGTTCTTCTAATACTTCGTTTGACTGTTTTTTATCACTCCGCTTTCCTTTTCTCCGACTCTCTTGCCTAAAATATCCCGTTTGAGCGTTAAATTTTCCAAGTTGTTTTTCCTCACTGTTTCTCGGTAATTTCTCTTTGTGATTTTATGTACAGTTTTTTTTCCCCAAAATGTACTTAGTTTTTAATTTTTATAACGTGTTAATTTTTTTTCTTCTTTTTTTTCCCGATCCATGGATTTCATTTCATTGCATATTTACTATAAAAATCAATAAAAACTGCATTTATTGTCGTTTAAAGAGTGAGTCCATTGTTGAGAGGATATTTAGACGAGATAAAAATTTTAAATAACTTTTCTTTTTCTTTTTGTCATAATAAAACTTCTGTAAAAAAACTCGTGTCTCACTTTAAAAAAAAAAAAAAAAACAAAAAACATGTACAATATTGCGAGGTAGAGCAATGGATAGGGGCTCGGATTGAGGTAATCAGAAAGCCGAGATTGCATTCCAGTTGAATCCGTTACATTCACTTACGTACTAATACCATTGAGGAAGGTAAGAATCCTTTTCTTCTTTCCCAAGCTATTTGTAAATAGCAGAACAGGCCAGGTTCTATAGCCTTGGATGGCAAATGGCAACCTACTGCGGGGAAAAAATCAGCTTCGTCAGTCATGTATCGAAAGATACATGTTCGTCTAAAGCATGTATCATGCATGGCACATAACAGACTAATGGTATTTTGTTCTTATTTAAAGTACAAAACAACAACTTTGGGGGTTAATTTTAAAAATTACCAGAGGTCGATAGAAACTTTTGAACTGTAGCGTATATATACGAGTTTCTGTTGTTTTTAAACATTATCGAACGATTTCTTTAAGACTAAATGCGAGCGAATTGAGGAAGGAACCGAATGAAGGTCTTCGAAAATATTTATTACCGTTGGGAACTCTCTCAATGAAGTCTATTAAGATAAGAGATGGAGCACTTCCCAGGTTAAATAATAAGAAAAAGGAGATTATGTCCTGATAGATTTCGTTTTTTTTTTTTATTTTATTTTTTTTTTTTTTTTGTTTATTGTTGAAATTTATTTATTTTTTAATTTCATATCGGAACGTTAAAGAAACAAGGAAGGCGCGCAGCGGGAGAAATTACACCCCCCCACAACCACCACCCAAATCTTTACCTACCTACCTACCTACCTGGCTCATGTTTTCTTTAAGTGTTTTAAGAATTTACAAAATTAAAAAGGAAAATGAAATAAGTTGGAGGAAATTATTATCTGCGACGCTTCTGGGGAATTGTACTCTTTTGTGACAATTCTATCATCTTTTCTTAAATCTAACAAAATGACTTCTGATTTATGAAAGTCAATATTCACACAGAAGTAATTGAATGCACAAAACCCAATAAATGCATACATACAGGCATACACACACTTATATATATATATATATATATATATATATATATATATATATATATATATATATATATATATATGTACGTGTGTCGTGTGAATAAAAATTACGCGATTTTTTTGCAGGGTAAATACAATTAAATCTTGGAGAATCGGTGGAATTTTGTGATTTGACATTGTTAAGTAGACGTAAAATCTCGTAAGCGAAGTAATTAGCATGTCGGGAAGATCGAAAGTAGTTGTGAGATAAGGATGCGGGGTGGGGGGTATTTTTTGTAAGGAGGGAAAGATGAAAATAGAAAAAAAGGTAGACAGGAAAGATCAAAGGAAGATGTCGGGGAAGAATTAAAAAAATGGAAAATAAAAAAAGGAGAGTTAAAAGAAAATAGAAAAAAAGGAAAATAGTTCAGAAACAAAGATAGAGAGATAGAGAGAGAGACAGAGACAGAAAGAGAGATAGACAGAGAGAAAGAACCAAGTGAGGGATTGGTGAAGGGAGAAAGAATGAGAGTGAAAGAGATGAAGGGAAAAACAAAGAAGATAACGGCTGAACGCCAATGAGGAAGAATTTAAAAAGAAACGGAGTCGGGTAAAGCGAGAAAGAAAAGATCAAAATCAAAGAAGAAATGAGTGAAGGAAGGCAGTGAGAAGAGTATAAGAAAAAGAAAAGAAGAGACAAAGAATATGAACAGAGGAAGGAAAAGAGGCAAAAAGGAGGAAAAGGATAAATTGTAAGTGAAAAAAAGGGAAAGAAAACATGAAAGAAATGCGAAAAAAAATCAACCAACAAACAAAAAACATTGATTCTTACTCTGGGTCAGCGGTTAATCTGATCCATAGTGATTTTTTCGACAAGGAAGTAGAAGAAAGAAAGAAAGAAAGAAAGAAAGAAAGAAAGAAAGAAAGAAAGAAGAGGATAAATGAAAAGGAGTAGAGATGAAAGCTGAAAAAAGGAAAGAAAAGAAATGGAAAAATGAAAAGAAGCAGAAAGAAAGAAAGAAAGAAAGAAAGAAAGAACAAGATGAACGAAAAGAAGGAGAAATGAAGGCTATAAAAATGACAGAAAGAAAGAAGAGGAGAAATGAAAAGAAGGAGAAAAAAAAAGCCTAAAAAGAAAACACGGAAAAAGGAAAAAATAAGAAGCAATGGATGAGAAAGAAAGAAAGAAGAGGCGAAATGAAAAGGAGTAGAGAGGACGGCTGAAAAAAAGCAAAAAGAAAGAAAGAAGAGGATAAATGAAAAAGAGTAGAGATGAAAGCTGAAAAAAGAAAAAAAGAAAGAAAGAAGTGGAAAAATGAAAAGAAGCAAAAATGAAGCATGAAAGAAAATACGAAAGAAAGAAAGAAAGAAAGAAAGAACAAGATGAACGAAAAGAAGTAGAAATGAAGGCTATAAGAAAAAAAGTCAGAAAGAAAGAAGAGGATAAATGAAAAGAAGGAGAAATCAAGCTAAAAAAGAAAACAGGGAAAAAGGAAAAAGAAAAGAAGGAAGCAATGGAGGAGATGGAATGAAAGAAAGAGGAAAAGAGAAGGATAAATGAAAAGAAAGAGAAATAAAGGCTAGAAAAAAGAAAGAAAGAAAAAAGAAAGAAAGAAAGAAGATAAATGAAAAGGAGCAGAAATGAGAGCGGAAGGAAGGAAGGAAGGAAGGAATGAAGGAAGGAAGGAATGAATGAATGAATGAATGAATGAATGGGAGAAGGAAATAAGGAAAGGGAGAAAGAAGGAATGAGTTAAGGAGGTTGCGGAGGAACCAAGGCGGGAAAAATATATCTTTTTTCCCGCCTTCGTTTCTCCGCGACATCCTTAATTCGTTCAAGTGAGCATGTAGCAGAGAACGAAGAAAAACAAGAAGAAAGCGTAAAAGAGTAAGGAAGATTTCTCAAAAATAGACACAAAAAGCAAAAGAGGAAAATTGAGGTGTATCAAACTGCTAAAAGTAAGGGTAATATTAGTCGTCTCCTTATAAGAGAAACATTCGTCATTTACTGAAAGAGCAGCTAGTTCACTCGCTGTCCATCGGCCAGTGATCAAAGTTCATTATCTGCTAATGGTCACGTTTTTCTTCACTCCCTGGCTATAGGGCTGGGATCAAAGTGTAGTATCTGTTCTCTGCGTCTCTAATGGTAATATTAGCCGTTTCCTTATAAGGAAACATTCGGCATTCATTGACCGAGCAACCAGTGCATCTCGTTACGCTTTTCTTCACTCCCTGGCCATCGGGATGGGATCAAAGTGTAGTATCTGTTCTCCTCATCTCTAATTTCGTTTAATAATTTTTTTCTCTTTAGGAGTAGGTAGATCCGCTTATGGTCCGGTTCACACTCCTCCCCGCTCTTTTAAAGAGTAGTAGAGCTTTATCACTTGTGTCCTGTTTAGGATCGGGTTTCCAGTTCCTTCTGAATTCTACCTCAGCTTTATAATTCTAAAGTCTCCGCCTCTACCCTGAAATTTTATTTACTATTTATTTTTACTCAATATGAGTAGAAAGACTGTCCAATCGTGCGTTTCACACTCCTTCCGGGTCTTTTTAACAAGACTAGAGATTTATCCCTTCTTTTCAGTTTAGGATTGCGTTTCTGGTTTCTTCTAAAGCGTTTTTTTTTTTCTCTTTCACTCCCAGGTGCCACTTGCGTCTTAGTGGCTTTATTGCCTTACATTATGTGAGCTGATTAAAAAAAAGAACGAATAGATGCAAAAGTGAAGGAAGGAAGGAAGGAAGGAAGGAATAGAATTTTGAAAAAAAAATCTCTTTCACTCCTAGGAACTACTTGCGTCTTAGTGGCATTATCGCTTTTGATTCAGGTAAATTGATTTAAAAAAAAAACAGTTAAAGAATGAATGGGTGTAAATGTGAAGGAAAGAAAGAAAGAAAAAAATAAGGAAGGAAGGAAAGAAGGGAGGAAAGAAAGAAGGAAGAAATGGATGTTTTAAAAAAAATCTCTTTCATTCCCAGCAGCCACTTGCGTCATAATGGCGTTGCCATCTTCGATGCAATTGATTAAAAAAAAAATGAAAGAATGAATGATGTTAATGGAAAGGAAGGAATAGATGTTTTTTAAAAAAAATCTTAGCACTTTGCGTCTTAGTGACATTATCGCCTTCAATTGTGGGGAAGTGATTTTAAAAAAAAACATCCCAGAATATATATATATATATATATATATATATATATATATATATATATATGAACTGGACAAAGTCAGACAATTATATTAAGACATTTTTTTATGCTTATACGTTCTTTTTTATAGATACAAATATTTAAGTAAATGCTCAGTTAATAATAAATATAATAATTCATAATGTGTGACGCCATTTTCTTACATCAGGATACGCATCGAGGAGATATGAATGTACGAGAGAAAATAATGGAGAATTGTAGTTTAAAAACAGTAAAATCGACCTTGCTAACCGAAACGCTCCTCTGTGGCAAAATTGTTAAAGCACGTCAGGCTATATGACGGTTCCGTATAGGATACAGGTTCGATTCCTGTCAGAGGAAAAATTTCTTTGAAAATTTCTCGGACATTCAGGCCGGTAAATGTCGTTAATATTGTTTATTATAAACAGAGCATTTACTTAAATATTTGTATCTATAAAAAAATAAAATAAAATAACGTATAAACATAAAAAATGTTGTAAAATAATTGTCGGACTTTATCCATTTCATAATATACACACAAATATATATATATAAGGGTTTCTTAATTTTCATAGAAAATTTGCGTCCTCCGCCAGGAATTGAACCTATATCCTATACGGAAACGTCATATAGCCAGACGTGCTTTACCGATTTAGCCACAGAGGAGCGTTACAGTTAGCCAGGTCGTTTTTACTGGTTTTAAACTACAATTCTCCATGATTTCCCTCGTACATTCATATCTGCTTGATCTACATTCATAATGTGTGACGTCATTTGTTTACATTTGGATACGCATCCAAAATTTCTCGGACATTCAGGCCGGTAATTTTCGTTAATACTGTTTATTATAAACAGATCATATACTTAAATGTTTGTATCTATAAAAAAAGAACGTATAAACATAAAAATGTCTTTATATATATATATATATATATATATATATATATATATATATATATATACTAATCTAAATTCAGGCGGAAATAAGCAGATGACAGAAAAGAGAATATCATATCATAAAAGAAACAGACTAAAAACAGACATCCAGGCCCGTAATTGTCGTTAATACTGTTTATAATAAACAGAGCATATACTTAAATATATGTATCTATAAAAAAAAGAACGTATAAACATAAAAATGTTTATATATATATATATATATATATGTATGTGTGTGTGTGTGTGTGTGTGAAAAGTGTGTGTATATAAATATAAATAAATATATATATATATATATATAATTATTTATATATTATATGCGCAATATACTTATTGAAAGCGCTCAATATCAGATATATATATATATACAAGTATATGATTTGTTTAAAATTATAACATAAATAAATTCCAAAAATCATTAAAAAACATTTGTTTACTATTTTTATCAACAATATCATTTTTGAAAAGACACCAATTTGAAACAAAAGTTATTTTCAATACATTTATTTATGTTATAATTTTTAAATAAAAAATTATTTAATTTTTAAAAATTATAACATAAATATGGTACAAAATTATTAAAAAAAAAAAGCCATTTTGTTTCAACACCTCCGGTGTTTTATCAACAACATCACTTGAAAAGACACCAAAGGTGTTGAAACAAAATGGTTATTTTTGTAGTGATTTTATGGCATATTTATGTTATAATTTTAAATAAAAAATTATATATAAATAATTATATTCGCTCTACTCTGTAATTGAGCACTCTTCTAAGAATAGTAATTGTTGGTTATTGAATTTATTCCGTATACACCAATCATCATATACTTGTATATATATATATATATATATATATATATATATATACTATTCTAAATTCAGGGAGAAATAATCAGACGACAGAAAAGAGAATATCATATCATACAAGAAATAGACGAAAAACAAAAAAAGAATGTTGTGATGAATATTTTTGAAGAATAATTAAACAATGTTTTTGAAAAAAAGGGGCGCTAAAAACAATGCAGACATAAAAGAGAGGGGAGTAGACATACGTAAAGACGACTAAACCCGAAAATAAAGAATTCCTCACGTTCGAGAGACGCAAAATTCTCCGTAACATTGACGCCACGCACCCTGGAATGATGACGAGTGTAATCTGCAGCCGGGAAGATCGTCGCCTTCGTCCTGCTTAATTGGCCCGCTTGCTGCTGATGCCTTTTTGAAACACAAAACACGGTACCACCAAATCTGTCTCACTACCATACGTAGGGAAGCGTCTACGACGCCTCCTCGTTTTCTCCCATAACACCTTCTCCAAGTACGCACACATACACACACCGTAAACCGTTTTGCACTGTCTCAGTGTAATCAGAGTTATTTTATTTGCTGGAGGAAAAGCTAACGGCATGTGATGACACCACGATTTTCACACACACACACACACACACACACACACACATGAGTAATTTGTTTCTCGTATCTTTTTTTTGTTTTTGTTAAGTATGTACGGAGAGTTATCATGCTATTCAGCTACGGTGAAGCGTCTGCTTAGCAAAGACCAAATTACCGTTTATAAACAACAAATCTTTGACGATCTTTCCCGAACGATCATATCTACTCACGAAACGTACATTAACATAAACATTGACAACATGAAATAGATTAAGTCTGACAATTATTTAATAAATGTCCTCTTTATACGTTATTTTAATCGATACAATTTATTAAAGTAAATGGTCTGTTTGGCTTTTTTTGTTTTTGTTGTTTTTTTTTTTTTTAAAAATAAACAGTATTAATTACATTTAACTGCCTGAATATTCGAGAAATTTTATAGAAAATATGCGCTTCTCCGACAGGAATCGAACCTGTAACCCTTAATGGGAAGCATCATTTGATCTGATATACTATTTCGCCACAAAGAAGCGTCTGCTTAGCAAAGACCAAATTACTGTTTATAAACAACAAATATGCCACGATCTTTCCCGAACGATCATATCTGCTCACAAAACGTACCTTAACGTAAACACTGACAACATATTATGACATAGATTAAGTCTGACAATTATTTAATGTAGCTTCTGTTTATATGTCATTTTTAATGAATACAATTTATTTATGTTTTTTTTTTTTGCTTTGTTTTGTTTTGTTTTTTTTTTTTTTTGTTTAAAATAAACTGTATTAATTTCATTTACTGGCCTGGATGTTCGAGAAATTTCGTAGAAAATAGTCGTTTTCCAACAGTAATCGAACCTTTATATTATACGGAACCGTCAATTGATCTGACTTGCTATACTACTCAGCTACAGAGAAAGTGTCTGGTTAGCAAAGTTCTAATTACTGTTGATAAGCAACAAATCTTCGACGATCTTTCCCGAGTGATCATATTTGTTCACGAAACGTAGCTTAACGTAAACATTGACAATATATTATGAAATGGAGCAATCTGACAATTATTTAATATAGTTTTTGTTTATAAGATATTTTAATAATACAATCCATTTAAGTAAAATGCTCTGTGTCTTTAAATAAACAGTATTAATTACATTTTCTATGTAGCTGAATAGTGTAGCACGTCTTATCATACTATATTCAAAATATCATGATCTCTCTGTGCCGCTTGGTATAGCTTGAAAACAAATTGGAGGGGACCTTCCAGCTCACGCGGGAGCAGAATCTCTCCTTGGGATTTACACAGTCGGCATTGTAATACCAATGAGTGCACGTGTGTACTGTGTTATCAAGGAAATAAGTCAGTAACGTCTTGTGCATTTTTACATCATACCGTCAAATAATTCTATCGGCGCTCTCTTTTATTTCAGGTTTAACTTCTTTCCCAAAACTTAAAAATAATCGTTCAAATGGAGCATATTTCAGATAGTAGTCAAGATTACGGAGAAGTCAATGATGAAAATGTTAGTTTAAGCAAAATGTACAGAGTGTTTTGACAATAGCTGGGACTCTTCATGGAAACTCAGGAGCTATTGACATTGACAGGTTACTTTTGATTATGCAGTGATATTCTCGTGTATATTATTATTTTTTTATTTTTTTTTTACATATAGCGATTTTTTTAGGAAAAACAATGAAAAGTGGAGGATGTGCGCCTTGAGAGTCTATTGGGTCGTAAACTCAGCTCAGGCCTCAAGTTGAATTTCTACATATGACCCATAGATAAAAAAATGCAGGAAACATTGTCGGTTTTCTGTACGGCTCCAGTAAGTACCCGACTTCAAACGCCATCTACTTTTACAAGAACTAGATCAGTACTGTTGTCATATTTTGACGGGAGATGCCTAGTCCTTACTCTCTAGTCTTAAGAGAGCTCAAAAATCGTCTGTGAGTCCTTGTGGGTGATGAATTAAATATATATCCCCTCGGGAGGCTCTGTGCGTTGAGACACTATTGTGCCTCAACCGAGACCTCAAGCGGAATTTGAACATACAACCCATCGCTAAAGATGCAGAAAACACAGTCGGCTTTCTGTAGCGTTCCAATATGTACCCAACTTCAAATGCCATCTTCTACTTTTACAAGAACTAGATCAGTACTGTCGTCATACTTTGACGGGAGGTGCCCAGTCCTTACTCTCCAGGCTTGATAGAGTTCAAAAGCGTCCGCGAGTGCTTGTGGGTGATGAATTAAATGGATATCCCCTCTGGGAGGCCCTGTGCCTTGAGAATCTATTGTGCCTCAACCCAGACCTCAAGTGGAATTGTACATATGACCCATCGCTAAAGATGCAGCAAAAAATAGTCGGCTTTCTGTATCACGACATTAAGTACCTAACGCCGAATGCCATCTTCTAATTTACAAGAACTAGATCAGTACTGTTGTCATATTTTGATGAGAGGTACCCAGTCCTCACTCTCCAGTCTCGATAGAGTTCAAAAGCTTCTTCGAGTCCTTGTGGGTGATGAATTATTTTCTACCCCCCCCCCATCTCTCTCTCACTGGCGGGATGTGGCAAGCCGTTCGGAGGAACTATATTCCTTGGTTCCACCAGTTGTAACCTTCACGGCTAGGAACGGCCATGTCACTCACAATGCAGCAAACCACCCACAGTCCTTCCCGTGTTCCACTGGTGAAAAGTAAGTTCTATATAGACTGTTTCTTCCTGCGAAACACTGCTCCATTGAATCGATTCCCATGAGAATGATTCCCCGATCACTACAATCTTAACCTGTTTAAGTTTAGGGTTAACCATGAATTTCTCCACCTATCCGCATAGACTACGTCTTACTGTAACTCTCTACCTCAATTGGCCTCTGGGCTTTGTACAGGGTGAACCTTACTGTAAAACCTCAATTGGCCTCTGGGCCTTGTACAGGGTGAACCTTACTGTAAAACCTCAATTGGGCCCCTGGGCCTTGTACAGGGTGAACCTCACTGTAAAACCTCAGTTGGGCCCCTGGGCCTTGTACAGGGTGAACCTTACTGTAAAGCCTCAATTGGACCCTGGGCCTTGTACCAGGTGAACCTCACTGTAAAAACCTCAGTTGGGCCCCTGGACCTTGTACAGGTGAACCTTACTGTAAAACCTCAATTGGACCCTGGGCCTTGTACAGGGTGAACCTCACTGTAAAACCTCAGTTGGGCCCCTGGGCCTTGTACAGGGTGAACCTTACTGTAAAACCTCAATTGGACCCTGGGCCTTGTACAGGGCGAACCTCACTGTAAAACCTCAGTTGGGCCTTTGGTCCTTGTACAGGGTGAACCTTACTGTAAAACCTCCATTGGACCCTGGGCCTTGTACAGGTTGACCCTCACTGTAAAACCTCAGTTGGGCCCCTGGACCTTGTATAGGGTGAACCTTACTGTAAAACCTCAATTGGACCCTGGGCCTTGTACAGGTTGACCCTCACTGTAAAACTTCAGTTGGGCCCCTGGACCTTGTATAGGGTGAACCTTACTGTAAAACCTCAATTGGACCCTGGGCCTTGTACAGGTTGACCCTCACTGTAAAACCTCAGTTGGGCCCCTGTGCCTTGTACAGGGTGAACCTAACTGTAAAAATGATGAAAGCATTATTGTCTTATAGTCCAAGACAGATTCTGGACCTTTGCATCTACACTCTCAAGAGAGTCCAAAAGCGTCAGGGTCTTTTTATGTGACAAATTATTTTACAATTTTCTCACAAAGACGGAGGTGGTGGGTAGCAAGCCTCTCACTACTCTATCGCTACTTTCATGGAAAGTGCTCAGATGAACTGCATTCCTTGGTGCCACTATTTATAACCTTCATGGCAAGGACCCGGCATGCCACCCCCCTTGTATCAAACCACCCACATTCCATTGATGAACAGCTTCTTCCATGAACCACTGCTCTGTTGAACCGACCCCCAAGAGGATGTTTCCCCGATTACTACAATCTTAACCTGTTCAAGTCTATGGTTAACGATTAACTTCACTCTCCTATAAAATGCCTCTTAATGTAACCCTCTCTTTCAATCGAGCACTAACTACTCAGTGGTGGGAAAAATTGGCTGGCGACATTCAATGTCTCGAAAACTAGACTAGTTAATTTTGATCATCGCCGATTGGAGCCTGAACTATCAGCAGTTACGAGGAATAGATTTTCTTTCAGGGAAGCCCCGTCCATTGAGCGACTGTTGAGCCTCAAACTCAAGTCTGACCTCAAGTGGAACTTGTTCTCACGATCCATCGCTAAAGATTCAGGAATAATTGTCGGTTCCTTGTAAATATCTGATTCTACCTGCTATCTTTTGCCAGAGCCAGATCAGACTGAAAATAGTGTACCGCTGCCACACAGAAACCAGTCCCAACCATCCAGTTTCGATAGTGTCCAAGAGGGTTTTCACGTCCCTGTGGGTGAAAAATTCTTTTCTACTGCAGCGTCCTCTCTCACAAACGAGACCTGGCAATCCTCTCACGCTACTTCCAGGGAAAGTGCTCAGACGAACTAAATTCTTTGGTTCCACTAGTTAAGACCATCCCGGCTGTGACTCGCCAGGCTACGCGACTTGTAGTAAACCATGATTATTAACTTCGTATTCCATTGGTAAGGAGTTAGTTCTACACAAGCACCTTCTTCCCTGCCCACCCTCACCTACCTGCATAAACTGTGCCTCTCACTTTGTAACACTCTACCTTGAGTGGCTCCAGGGCCTTGTACAATGTAAACATCACTGTAAAAAAAAAGCAAAAAACAATTGCCACTTTCGAGTAGAATGGCTTTATTAATTTTATTGGGTATATTGTCTTCATCTTTCATGTTATTATTTTAACAATTAGACCGTTGTGTACTTCAATATCTGTGTAGCCGTCAGTAAAGTTCCAACAGAACACTTTATTTAATTTATGCGT